AAGCCAGAAACCTCAGGGCTAGCCTACATTTCTTCTCCCCAGCCCCCCACCCAAAGCCAAGGGCAAGCCCTGCCCATTCTACCCCCAGCATGCATCTCACACTCACCTGCTTCTCTCCAAGCACCTCATCTCCTCACTGCACCTATTCCAACTGCTTCTTTCTTTCTTTTTTGGTATTGGGGATTGAACTCTGGGCCTCTCACTTGCTAGGTAAGTGCTCTACCACTTGAGCCTTACTCTCAGCCCTTTTCCTTTTAGTTTTTTTTCAGATAGGCTTTTGTGCTTTTTGACTAGGGCCTGCCAGGGACCATGATCCTCCTACCTCCACCTCATGAGTAGCTGGAATTACAGGCATGTACCACCACACCTATTCTTCCAACTGCTTCCCTTTTTTAATGCTTCTTTTTTGCATAAATTAATTGAACAAAGAGGTTTCATTATATTTTTCCATATATACATATAATGTACTTGACCAAATTCAACCTCCTCTGTTATCCTTTTTTAACCCCTTCTTTTCTCCTCCCCTTTTAAAGTTTTTAGTGTATTTTCATTATGCTATTTTCATTCCAAATGCTCCTTTACTGCGACCTCCACCACACCTGCCCCTCTTCACTCTCTTTGCAACCAATGTCATCTACTTTAAACATGATTAGGGCTTGTCGCTTCTAGCTCATTCCTTCCTTCCTTCCTTCTTTCCTTCCTTCCTTCCTTCTTTTCTTCCTTCCTTCCTTCTTTCCTTCCTTCCTTCCTTCTTTCCTTCCTTCGTTTTATTAGCACCAAACTTTCAGTGGCTCCCCACAACACTGCAAAAGGCCCACGGAGTCCTGCATGATTGTCCCATGCTGCCCTCCTTCTCTCCCCTTTGCCTGGCTACCTCTTTTAGTCAAAGCTGTCATGTGCAAGCCATCTCCACCTGTCTCCTCCACCCCCATTCCTAAGACAGGCTGTTCCAGGCCCCCTTTTCCAGGTCCCTGCTCCGTGGGGTCTCACCAGAGCATTTAGCACAACTGGCAACATGTATTTCTTCCCATGTGTGCCTCTGGACTGTAAGTTGGGGAGGAAGCATGGGTAGAGGGGGACATCAATGGCTCTAAATTATCAACAGACTCCCACACCCTTAAAATGGTGTCTGGCAAGTAGGTGTTCAGTAAGTCACTGCTGAATGTATGAATGAACAAAGCAGGGCCTTTTATGGCATAAAAGTACTGTAGCCCCAGAATTATCACTGCCTTCTAGGTACACAGGTTCTTTTTCTCTTCCTGCTTTATCAAAAAGAATGTTTTAATGTTAGATGTTAATGTAATGTTAAATAGCCCAATAGCTCAGCATATCCTACTCCATTCTCAGCTTATTACCTTCTGTGGAGAAAAAAAAAATAAATCATTCATTTCCTCAGTCCAAATTACTAAGTCCAAATTCCTGCAAACAGCTACTCTGAGAACTTAAAATTCTTAGAAAATATAACAGAGGTTTTCTGTTGTATCTGTTCTTTAACACAGAAGAAAAAGACTTGCTAAGAGAGCCATGGGGAAATTCATGTTATGAAGACTGTACTGCTTTATTAAAAATGCCACAGTACCCTTGTCAGAAAAACACGACAGTAACTGCAATCCAGCTGTTCTTATGCCCTCTCCTGGCAGTACCCCCCCCACATACCTCCCAAATCAACTGTGTTTTAGTATCTCCTTTATTTCATTGGTTCCCTTCCAACATGCAAATCCAGAATAAGATCCCAGTGTATTCCAGGCCTCTCTCCTTGTTCAGTCACAGTTTTAGAAACTAAATTCCTCTGCCCTTGAAGCAGGATAATCAACAACTTCTTATACTGCTCGGAGCCTGAGCCATTTGTCTGGAATTGTTCAAAGTTAATAAAAATATCCAGAGTTTTTCCCCACAAATGCCCATGGTGAAATATACAGCACCCTGGAAGTAAGTACTAAAACATCATTATAAAGAACCCTGTAACAACTATTTAGCCAAATCCCAATTACCCATGTGTGAGTTCTCCATAGTAAGTGGAAAAAGCCACACTGGGCTTTCAGGTTTCCTTCTCTCCTTACCCCAAAGCTACCTGCTGCTTGGGAATAACAGCTCAATTAACCTTCGACTTGACCAAGCATTACACCAGTCAGCCAGCTGGCTACAAAGATGAACTGAAATTATTTTCTATTCCTGGGATTACATGCCCCCCCCCCCCCCCGCACACAACTGGCACATATAATTGAGAAATTTTGTCCAAGTCAGTGGCAGACTTTCACAAGTAATTCCTTGTGTTTGATGGTCAAGATTACCAGGCTACTCAAGAGCCTTTTTGGAATGCCAAGGTACAAATCCACTTTCTCCATGAGAAGACAAAAACAGAAGTTAATCAACTCACCCAAGTCCATGAAGCAATTTGGCCGTTGGCCCAGGAAGACACAGTAGAAACCTCTGGGACCTCACTCCCCCGAAATAATTACAGAGCCAGAGGGAACTCAGGGATCCAACCACGCATTTTTAAAATAAAAAATCCAACAAAGCCTAGAAATTAGTACCCTTCCTCACTTTTTTTGCAAGGGACAGTTTCCTCCTGCCTTGAGGCTCAAACCACCTTGAAAGTTCTTTGTCACTTCACAAATACTGTGAACTTGAGCCCACTTCTGGATGCAAGACAAATTTAACGCTTCCTGACTTGTCAACTTCATGGAGAATTCTCAGGCATTCCCCAAACCCAATGCTTTGGTTATTGTGACCAAGTATCCATCAATGCAGGAGGAAAAGAACATTACAAATCAGCTTTGTTTCGGTGACCACACATTTTATTATATAAGCAGCAATGAACACCACCCTCTGTCCCTGATCAACAATTTAAGCTTGTAACTCAACAAAAATCACAGGACCAAGCAGGTTAAAGGAGGCAAAACTGAGTACTTTCTACACAGTTCATGGAACAACTGTTTTCACAGCAAGCTCCCATAAACTGTGTGATATTAACTCATGCCTGCTATGTGGAAGCCTGCTTACCAAGCTGGGAGAAGACCCATGTTCACTACAAAACCTGAAAAATTAGTCTTCTCCCTGCTTATAAGGCACAGGGGAAGGTTCTCTGTGAGATGTCAAGCTGGTTTCTAAACAATTCCTTGGCAAAAATGGACATGCCTAAAAGGGCGGGGCTCAAAGAGGTGTGTCTCTCTGGGTATCAATTCCTATAAATCAAATCCTGACAATTCCCACAATATTTAAAAAAAGAGAATGACTTATGATTCATGGGCCTTCAAATCTTTATTACAAGAACATTCTCAGCAGAAGCAAAGAAAAAAAAAAAAAGAAAGCAACTGTGACTTGATTAATAGCCAAAGCAAGACAATAAAATAAATCTCATAAAAATAAGGCAAAAAAAAAAAAAAAAAAAACACTGAATGACTGCTCTTGGCTTCAAGGTTAGACATGTAAATAATTTCACTCTTTATGTGGGATAAACACACATAAAGACTTTATTTACTCTCCTAACATACACACCAAGCTGACTCAGATTTTCATTGGGTAAAAATAATAGCTAATTTGTTTAGCTAATGCCTAGTTAGGAACATTCGATAAATGGTACCAATATTTAATTCCCAACTAACTCAGCTCTCAAACAACCAAATATCAAAGCTTCAATCTTGAAATCTGATGGCAGGAAGGAAAGAAAAAAATGCACTGTCCATAAGAGAGATTTTTTTTTCTTTAACCCGTTTTTTCCCCCTGCTAGAACTAAGCCTATCTACAGAACTGGGGAAAGCTTAACCAACTTTTAGTTAACCCCACCGGTGGTTACTCCCTAACCCTACGGAACATCCCTGGGCTGGCCCCTCTGGTGCTAAAAATTACCCTGGCAAAGTTAAACTCCCAGTACCACCAAGGTACCTGACAGCCAAGACCTACAACTCTTCTGCAGAAACCAATGAGTTGAGGATCCAAAAACTAGAAGCCAGCAAAGGCCGAACGCTGGTTAACCAGTTAAGCGCCGAGTTCTCCTGCTTTCTACCTTCCAGTGGGCATCAAAGCCACACTCCCCATCACAGAACTCCTTGCATGAAAGGGTCAATGATGCAGAGGCTTGCTACTAACTGCGACAACTTAAAACTCCTAAAAGCTCTGGCCAACGTGGCCTGCTAAGTAAGAAGAGCTCCCGCACCGGCTCCCAGGCTGAACTCCTGAGCCGTGCCTGGACCGGTCAATCCTAAGCCTGACTTGCATACACTTCACATCGTGCTGTGAGCAAGCGACTGCCACACATTCCCTCGCCTGGGGAAGATTTTCCACGAAGCTGGCTCTAGCAGCCCAGTGGAAGACACCCAGAGGAACCAGAGGCGTTTGCTCTTACCCCGAGGATGGCAGGCGCACATGCTCCAGCCCAGTGCTGGCCAGAGGCTGCCTGCCAGGTGCTCTCAACCTCCACCGCTGAAAGAGTGGTTTTGTTTTGTTTGCAATAGCTCTTTCTGCAGCCCATCAGCAGTAACTTGCCAGTCTCCCAAACCGAAGTTGGGAAGCGAAGGTTCAAGTTCACCCTCTTACACATTTCTTCCACCTGGGTGGCCACACTAACTTCTGCGGAGTACCCAGCCCCCACAGAGCCCGCAGGCGCATATACATACACTTATGCATCATGTCAAAAACCCCAAAAGGCACATCCCCAGGGTCCTGCGGTTTCTTGGCTGGAAGAATGAAGGCTTTATAACCTCACAACCTTCAATTGCAAGCCCACCACTATCACCCTAGAAGCCAGGGTTGCCAGTTATAGCGCCCACCTCACCCCTCCCCCTTTGCTGGATGCTGTAGCAGCCCAGAGAGGGAACAGGGAAGAGAAGGGAAGCAGGGAGAAGGCTCTGCTTTACATACTGAAAGTAAAGGGGCGGCAGGAGACTTTTCCTTCCCGGTCCCCACACTCTTTCCTCCCCACCCCACCCCCATCTTCTCACTGAGCATCCATCCCCCAACTAATTTTTTTTTAAATGAAACTTAATAAGCTTCTTGCCTACCTTGGCTGTTTCGGCAACAAGTGCACGGGCAATCCGACAAGACCAGCCTCCGCTTGGGGGGCGAGCAGAGCTGATGGAGTAATTTCAATATTAATTTATGTCAGCCGCCTTCTCACAGCGCTACTCACTTACAGTACTGCCCTCAGCCTGTAAACAAATATCGCTCCGCCAGGAAACATACTCCCCAGATGCAAGCCCCTCTCCTCAGCAGGGAACCTGGACCCTCGCCACCCCTCCCAAACTGCGTGCTCCTCCATGCCGGGTGGGAAGCTCAGGCTTTCCAAAGCACCAACCTACCACCTCCGCCACCACCCCAAGCAAGAAACTTACTCGGTCCGTCTACGCCTCCACCCTCCCTCCAGGAAATCTACTCTCCATATGCATTCAGCCTCCCCGCAGGAAATCTGCTCCCCCCCTCCCCCTGCTATATACATGCACCCCTCCCTCTCCTCCTCCCCACGCGCCCTCCCCGGCCAGAAACTTACTAGCGAGCCAGCGTGCAGGCTCTCCTGATCCTGAAACTTACTCCCAGATATAGCGCCCGCCAGCCCCCTTTCCCGGCCCTGCTCCCCTTCCTGCTCTCCGCTGCAAGCAACTCCAAACTCTCCGCATCCAGCCACTCTCCCTCCCCGGTGGAAATTTGCAGCGCCGGGCTGCGCGCGTGCATCCACCCTCCCCTTCAGGAAACTTACTCCCCATCTGCATGCACCGCCTCTCAGCCATCGCTTAGAGGGAAGGGGGTGTGCTGGGGAGACAGAAATACATATGTATCTCTCGCCCCTCCCCCGGCCGCAGCCCACTCGGGCCCGAACCGCGGTAACCTGGCCTTACCTTTTGCATTGCTCCCCACCCTCGCCCCCCTCCCTTAGCCCTCCTGATCCTTTCCCCGGCACCCCCCTTTTTTCACCCATTACCCACCCCTAGCAACCGTTCCCAAGCTCCTCTCGGCCTTTTTTTTTAAAAACCAGGATGCAAATTCCTCCCCTGTCAGCAAATCGACTGTCAAATTATTTTCTTGCAAAAGAAGAAAGGCGGGGTGGTTGGGGGGGAGCAGAAGCAAAAAAAAAAAAAAAAGGGGGGGGAAGGCGGGGAAAGGGAGGGAGAGGGACCGTGGAGAGAGATATCCCTCCGCAGAGCTGGGTCTGGCCGCGGGCGGGGAAGCAGGAAGTAAGGTGTCCAGCGCCACGGCCGGCGGGTCCTCCGCCGCGGCCCCCGCCCGCGTCCCCTGTCCCCCGGGGCGCCGCGCTCCGGCGGGCGCGGGCCACCCGGCGCATTGTTCGCAGCCTTCTCGGGTCGTGCACTGCCGAATTTACTTGCGAGCTTTGCGTGTGCGTGTAAGGGTGCACCTTTTGTAGGCTGGCGAGTCTGGGCCAGGATGGGACGCCAAGCCTAGTTGCAGCCCGGCACGGGACCTGTCACTCCCGGGGTGCAGCACACTCCTCGTCGTGGCCGGAAAATCAAGGGCCGGGAGATGGCAGCGTGGCCGGGAAGCCACCGCCTTAGACCCGGACCGGTGCAGGATTGCTTCCTGCGTAGCCGTGCGGGTTATTGTAACGCGCGCTGCAATCTAACAACTGCGGTTGGGGTTTTTTGTTTATTTAAGGATTTGCAAAGATGCCAAGGTCTAGGCGGGCTTCGAGGAGAGGGGCTTCGCCTTCCCCTACCGCACCCCGGCCTCTCTAAGCCTGGAAGAGGGCCTGGGGCTCCGAGGAAGGGGCTGGAGGTTCTCGAGGCGCGTGGGGGCGGGGAAGGGGTGCTGCAGACGGCGCTGGAAAGGCCGATCTCTGGGGAGGGGGTCTCCATCTCGGCGGCCGGGGAGGGAGGTTGCCTAGGAGAGGGGCAGCGGCGGCCAGCGGCGGAGGGGAGGGCGTCCAGGGGAGGGGGCGCGGGTGCGGCCGCGGCGCTCGCCCCTCCTTGCGCGCCATGACTATGGAACGTGGTGCCGGGAGGAGGGACGGCCGCCGGGGGCCGCCCGGGGCTGCTCAGCATTGGTGCGGAAACCCGAGCCCCAGTCGCTCCCTCGCGCTGTCTCCTCCTTCTCCTCTGCGGGGGAAACCGCTGCACCCAAACGGAGAGCAGCTGCGAGCAGGGGGCAGGGCGCGGGCTGAAAGGCGAGCCCAGGGTTCAAACCTTGGCGGCGCGGGCCAGGGGGGCGAGAGCCAGACAGTGCCCGCGACCCGCGATGGCATGCAGCGGCCGATCGGCCCAGGTGCCGTGAACCCAGCCGGTGATCACAGCGTTTCCCAGCTCTTCTGGTCCCGGGAAAGGTGAACCAAAAATAGTTCAGCTAAGCAGACCACTTTGCGCCGGGTTGGAGGCATCCGTCTCTCCAAGGGCCCGCAGGACGGCGAGTATTTTTTTGCACGAAGGAAAGTTACACCACCCTTTTTTTTTTTTTTTCAGTGTGGAGGATTCATTGCACCCTTTCCCCCACATCTCGTGCAGGATAAGTAAGCTTCTCCCACTCTCCAGACCTTCGCCACTGTTCCCCCTCACCCCACAACACCCCCGCTCGGGCTCTGGGTGTGGACAGGACGGGGAAAGGCTATATGGGAGCCTAAAGCATGAGGTCATGGGCGGAGGAGGCTGCTGCCAAAAGCAGCAGAGGTTTTGGTGCTTTTTGAGGGGTAACGGTTCTCCATCTTTAGCAATGGAAAGTCCTCCCGCCTAATCCTACAAATTCTGGGGCACCTGGACCAGAGAAACGACCCCCCACACACACACACAGAGGAGGGGGTTCTGAGCTATTTCGCTCAAGGAGCGTCTGGCCGATGCCCAGCCCTTTACGGAGCCTTTCCACTTAAGCAAAGAAAGCCGGGGGACAGCGTTCAGTGTCGCGGGGACTGGGAAAGCTTCCGATGCTCGGCGTTCTCCCCGCCCCCCAATCCTCGGTCATCTTCCAAATGGACTACTCTCTGCGATGGCCTCCGGGCCCAGCGACCCATTCTTCCCGGGTGACTAGAGGAGTCTAACACTCCTGCTAGTCTGGATTAAACGCGGCAAACCCCTCCCCATTGCTCTTAGAATAAAGCAAGGTCCTGAAGCCCCGGTGTAAGTCCCCCCTGTAGACCTCTCCACAGCTCTAACTCCTGCCTTCTTTGTTCCAAGGGTTTGGGATCCCTGACCCTTCCCCTGCCACCTCTTACTAATTCCTGCAGACTTTAGAAGATTCAACTCAGCTGTCACTGTCTCCAAGAAGCCTTCCTGAAGTCACATCATCTCTAACTCCCTGGGGCAAAAAGACCCTCCCTAGGCCTCCTAGCAGCTGGGCTGTGGCCCGAGCTGGCCCTAAGGTTAGGAAGTCCTTTTCCATGTGGAGGAGAAACAGGCAAGCTTGAGCCACCACTTCCCAGGAACGTGATCTGAGAGGGAGCCGGTTTGAACGAACCTCAAAACGCCCTGTTTCCTCAAGAGACCTGGGAAGAATCGGCTCCCCGCCCAGAAACCTCAGCCTTTCTACCTCCCGCCCCCAGCACACACCCACATGCTGAGGCTTCTAGGAGAGGGCTTTTCTTCTAAAGCAACACCCTGGAGCAGATAGGGAACCTGAGTAGATAAGGAATCTGGCTCAGATAGTTAAGTAAATTGCCTGGGGTCAATGCAGAAATTTACAACATGGTCTTTAGGGCTCCTAAACCAGAAGGCCAGTGGATTTGGGATTTGGTTTCTGAAGCTATTTCCATTACCCAGCAATCAATTTGTCACCTTCAAAGAACCTTCTGTATGTTTGGCCCATGCTGGGTTCATTGCCAGTAGAGAGGTAATATAGCCAAATGGTTAGCCATGCAGGCTCTGAGCTTGAACTTGTAACTTAAACTCAGGCGGTTCAGTTTCTTTGCCTGCAAAATGGGGTCAATGGTGGCTATCAGGTATTGTGAGGCTTAAATGAGTCAATGTTTATAAACGTTAAAACAGTTATCTAGGCAAGTTCTAGAAAATTAGGTCCCCAGAGTCTTAACGGACTTAGGCAAAAAGGCTAAAAGACTGGGGAAGCACAAATAAATACACAGCGGAGACAAACACAGATCTCATTTAACCAATGACATTAACCCTCAACTCTTAAGGCGGTCCAAAGTGAGTACCCAAATCCCCAGGTGCTGGTTGTAGACTTTTAGAGTGTGGGTCAGAGGGAGGATGGCTGACATTAAGATGGAGGTGTGGCTCAAGTGGTAGAGCGCCTGCCAGGCAAGGGCAGGCGCTGAGTTCAAATCTCATACCACCAAAAAAAAAAAAAAACCTACCTCAGATCTTAAAATCAGAGTCAGGCTGAAATTGGCCCAGCCATAGTTCAAAGCCTGCCCTCCTGGGGCTGCACAAAATGTGAGAGAGGTCTTCTGTCCTCAGATGGCAAGTCCCATTCTTGGCACTTGGTATAATAGACTTTTTAAGTGTAATTTTCAGTAGGCTTCATACATTTACCTGATTCCAAATTGAAATCAACAGCAAGACGTTTCCATTCCCCTCCCCCATCTGCCACCCACCCTGTTTCCCTCTATAGAGGCAACTAGGCTAGCAATTGGAAGATGTTTTAACTGTCTTCCAGCTGTGGCCTTGTAAGAACACCCTAGACACCCATTTAAATCCTTATGTTCCATGCTCCTTTCTCCAATCCAGGCAGAGCCACCACCCAACTCCTACCCTTCCCACCCCTTCAGCCTCAACCCCAAACAGGCCCTATTAACAAAGTAATAGAGATACGTATGGTGGTGCACAGCTGTAATCCCAGTTACTCTGGAGGTGGAGGTAGGAAGATTATAGTCCTGGGCTGAGCAAAAGCCTGAGACCCTATCTGAAAAACAAACTAAAGCAAAAACCGAAAAAACAAAACAAACAAATCTGAGCTACTGACAAATGCAAACGATTAAGTGCTTTGTGATCTTTCTCCTTCTGTGCACTAATAATCAGTAACATTTATTGAACACTTTCCAGGTGCCAGACTTTGTACTAAATTCTAGACATGCATTATTTTCTTTAATCTGTCCCATACCATCCTTATCTCATTTTGCAGATGCAGAAACAGAAATTATATAACTTAGACCAGTTTGCAAGCAGGCCAACCTGATCCCAAATCATCTCCCAGAAATACTAGCCCTCTCACTTCTCTGCAACACAGGGAAAAATTCTAGTAGGCTGCTTGGGAAAGGGGCCCCTACTGCAATGCAGGAGTTCATCAGGAGTTCATCACTGGAGGTAATTCCCAACTGGGTTCCTATCCATCCTGCTCCCTTGCCCAGAACTGTGACTGTGGCTTCCCTCATTTGTAATTTGGATGTAAGACCTTTCTGGCCCCTTTCAGCTGTACAGACTGTGTAGAATGTCGTTGGATTTCCCAAGAGAGAGATTATTTCTGATGCCACACGGGTTATTTGCCTATCTCAAGAAGAGATCAGGGCTAAATGGAAATGGAAATTCGTAACCAAAGGGAAAGGGTTGTAGGCCCACTGACCATTCCTGTATTGTTCTACGGGTAATTTTTCTGCACTCAGGTTAAACAACTGGGATTATTTTTATGAATTATTTTATGACTCCATCTTGAAATGAAAGTTTGTCTTCTTTGGGAGGTTATCTGCATTCAGGGAGGATAAGGCAGTAATATCTGGTAACTCTTCCAAGAGGTGGAACATTCTACATAATGCTTTTTTTTTTTTTTTATAAGACTGGGGTTTGAACTCAGGGCTTTGCCTGTAAACCACGCACTCACAAAGCAGGCGCTCTACGGCTTCAGGTACACCTCCAGTCCATTTTGTTCTGATTATTTTGCAGATTAGGGTGGGAGGGAGGGGGCTCACTAACTAGGCTGACCTCGAACCTCGATCCTCCTGATCTCAGGCTCCCAAGAAGCTAGAATTACAGGCGTGAGCTGCAAGTACCTGGCAATGCTGCTCTTTATTTAAAGGTGGGGCTTCTTAAATTCTGGAGAAATTGGAGGCCTGGAAAACTAGACAGAGGAGAGGACTGGATGAGAAATTCCACCTCTGCTTCTGCTCTACCCAAGGCTGCAGGTG